TTCCATTTTCTTGGTGATTAGTGAAATTGAGTGTCTTCCTAAGCTCACTGGACATTGTACCTCTTCAGAGAAAGGTCTACTCAGTTATATGCTTGTTTCACTCAATCTGTTACTGAATTGTAGGAGTTCTTTATATATTCCACTATTAACTTCTTTTTTTTTTTTTTTTTTTTTGTTTTGGGGATTGAGCTCAGGACCTTGCAATTTCAAGGCAGGCTGCAGCACCACTGAGCTAAATCCCCAGACTCCACTATTAACTTCTTAACAGTTTCAAGATTTGCAAATATTTTCCTCCATTCTGTAGATTGCCTTTCCACTCTTTCATTGGTTCTTTTGATGTGTGTACATTTTAAAGTTTTGTGTAGTCTCATTTGTCTATTTTCCCTTTTGTAACCTGCATTGTTTGGATTGTATCCAAAGTAACCATTGACAAATCAAGTGACACCAATACTTTTCTCTATTTTCTTCTAGGAGTTTTATAAGTTTTGAGTCTTATGCTTATGGCTTCAGTCTGTTTCGAGTTAGTTTTTATATGTGGTATAAGGGAAGTGTCCTTTTGAATGCAGACAGTTTCCCCATCTCCTGTGGTACTCTCTCCCCATGGAGCCACATGCCTGTTTTGGATGAGGTACCTGGTCATCAGAGCCCTTGGCCCTCATCTGGACCCTGGTCTATACTTTTGTGGAGTGCAGAACATAGTGTCAAGGCACAGATACACATTTTCTGTTCAGCTGGACAGGAAAACATGGGATGACACAAGAATGTGCCTGCAATCCTGAAGAGTTTGGATCATTCCACAAGCAACAAAGCCCAGAATGATTTTTTACATGAGATGAAGACATGCCCAAAGAGGCTTCAGCTAGATGGAGACTGGCAGCCCTTCCAAGAGTGCTCCCTCTGTCCCGAACAATGGCTGTCTTGATTATTTTATCAACTATCCCTAACCAGGGACAAGTCTACTCCATGTGAATTAAGAGAGTTGACACATGTCCCAAACTATCATTTCTCCAATAACGCAAGATCATAGCTCCTCACTCAAGCCCTTCTGGTGTTGCCTCTTGGGAAACTGGAGGGATTCATCATCTTCATTGCATGTTCCCAATACCCTCTGGCCTCGGACCATATGGCCAATATGGAAATACTGCCAGCCAAACAGCTAATTGTGAAAACATCTCACCAATGCCTATCTAGTGGCCCATGGATCCAAATAAAATGGGGAGTAAATCCAGTCCAATGCCAATTTAAGAGACGCTGATGGGGTCAGGGATTTAGCTCAGTGGTTTCTCTGCCTGCTGCGCAAGCACAAGGACCCGAGTTCAATCCCCAGTACCCAAAAAACAGAGATGCTGAATCTCAGGTGAGTATCCTGGCTTGATGAAGTCCTGAGACTTTAATTAACCTGAGTAAATCAGGATGAAAAATAAACACATGGTCCTTGTGGATACATTGTTCTCTGGTCTGGAAAAGCCTGAGCAGTGAGAGCTGGCCCTGGGGCTCTTCTGCATTCTCCACTCTCAGCAATAGCACAAAGCTCCTGGCCCAATGCCCCTGGAACTTCCATTGACAGAAGCCTGGCTTGTCTGCATCCATGGCTTTTCTCTTTTCTCAGGGTAAATTTACTCATCATGAAGTGTCAGATAAAGGATAGTTCTTCTGGCAGACTGGTCTCAACTCCCATATCAGGCTACCTGCCTGTCATCATTGCTTTTCCTAGGAAAGTACACCTACATCATCACCCTTCAGCACTGGTGAAATGATCTGTGTATGTGCTTATATCACCCACCACAGGAAACTGCCTGATCCATGGGTTATGTAGGTTTTCCTTCTTTGAAATTGAGAAAACTCTATATCCTGTTTGGAGCTCTTCAGATTTCCTTAGATATTAATGCTCAAGAATCTCCAGTGTAGAGTTGTGAAAGTAACCTTGAGACCAGGATTTTCTCTACTTGAGCCAGGTGATTGGATGGCATTTTTTAAAAGCCCAGGTGGGCTTCTTCCAGTCTGACTTCAGATTTGTGCTCATACAGTTGAGGCACATAAGCAAGGAGCAGGGTGCTTTGCCATTAGTCCGCACAAGGAGGAAATCATGAGGCTGAAACTACCTAGGCTTCAGTTTCTGTGGGTGTAATAATGGGAACCCAAGCTCTTTCCTTGAATGGGAAAGGTAGCAAACAGGGGTATTATAATCATACTTTAAGGATATGTGACAAAACTGTAGGATGGGAGGAGGAATATTTAAATCATAATAAAAATGCCCAAACAGATCAAGCATGCATAATATGCCCCCACCAAAAAAAACCAAACAAACCCAGAACAAAAAACAAAAACCATAAATGAAGGAATTGAACCTGTGGGGTTAGTGCTGTGAGTCAGGAGTGACCTCATTCCTGCATTCAGTGATGAGCGGTAGAAGTGGGAATGCTGGTTTCCTAATTGTTCACCTCAGAGGTGGCAATTTCAGTCATCTGCAGAGTGTTTGTGTCTCAATGAGATTTCAGTTTGTATTAGAGACTGAGAAGTTTCCTCTTTAAAGAAATTCATACCTAAGGAAAGAGCTGCTTTCCAATTTACCTTACCCTCCCTTTCTTGCAGTTCTTACTGTCTTTTATTTTTCTTGTATCTTTGGAAGATCTCACCTTTTTTCAGAACATTAGGGAATGAGGTTGCACTAACAGCTCTATCTTCTTCTCTTACATATATCTGGGGGAATATTTCCAGTTAGATGAGAAAGAAGGAATTTCTCTCAAATGATGGTGGTCTCCATGGACAGAAACCTTGACAGGCCTTTCTTCCCTAACTGCTGAGTTTAGTTGGTTAAGAATCTGGTTCACCATAATCCTGCTGATGAGGATGTGTCCAGCAACTGTGAAGGGGTGGAGGAATTACATCTGGTGATTTTTGTTCCTAAGCTTCCTCTTTTGTTATCATAAAAGAAGTCAATCTATTACAGCTTTCTTCCATTTGTGCTAGGCTGATGAGGGTACTCATACAATTGTTTTTGTGAGATGCTATTAGACTTTCAGAGCAAGTGAGACATCAAGTCTCCTTCCAGTGGATTCCTTCTTCTTCCCCTGCTGTGAAGATGGCTCTTCCACAGTGCTTGTGGGGATGAGTCCCATCACTTTGCACCATTGAGACAGTAGGAGTAGTGATAGACCTTGCTCCAACTGTTCTACCACTTCCCTGTCACACACTGAAGCAGGTCAGCCTGGTTCTTTAAGGTTCTTTGTTTCAACCTGCTGGTTAGAGGACTTAAAAACTTTCCAATCTTGTTTACTTAGGGAAAGAATGATTGTATTAGAAATACAACTAATGTCCAAAAATTCAGCTTTATTCCAGAACTAGAAATGGTCAAATCTGATGGCTGATACCTGAGCAGATTCTTATGGGGAAAATAATATGTCTTTGTATTTACTTACTCAGTCACTCTCAAAAACACCAGTGGTGGGCCCAGGAATTTAACTCAGTGGCTGGCACCTGCCTTGAAAGCACCAGGTCCTGAAATAGATCCCTGGTACCAGTAAAAGAAAAACAAAAACACTCATGGTTTCTACTCCTCCCTCAACACTGTCATCCACGGTTGGCACACACATTACTTCCTTGCAAAGATAATTTACATTAATCCACTATAAGAAGAATAGAGTGCTACTTATCCATTTTGTAGATAAAAATATTTTTTCCATAGAAATCCCCAACAACAACATATGGGTTTAAATATAATCATCTTTTTCTTTTCTCTGAGGGTTAGGAGATGATTTATGAATATCCCTTCTAATTTAGAGCCTTTTGTTTTATTTTTAGCTGAAGTATATTACTTCTTTGCATTTTCTCTTTTACCTTTAAAATGATTGTCTAAATAATTTTCTGTGCTTCTTGTTCAGTTGCATAATACAACCAATTAAGCTGTGATGGATATACTGATTAATTATTAAATTCTTCACCTTCAGTTGCAGTCAATTTAATGCCCATACTGCCAGAGATTAGCACAGTAATATTTCACTTCTAACAATTTGCCACTTAAATTTTCTTCTGTTGAAATGTAAATATTAATTCCTATAGTGGCAGAAGTTGGATAGGAATGTAAAAAAGGTTCAAATTTCATTCTAGTGAAGTAAATATGCAGATAACTATTCATTTCTATTAAGTCCAATATAACTACACATATAAATAGAAAAATTAACTTAAAAATGAAGAGTTGAACATAGAATTAATCTTTATGTATATATAGTTCTTGGTCATAAAACTCAAAGTAAAAATTTACGTAGCAGAATAGTATTTAAAAGTAAATAATTTATGGGTTGGGGATTTAGCTCAGTGGTTTTGCCGCCTGCTGCACAAGCACAAGGACCTGAGTTTGATCCCTGGTACCAAAAAAAAGTAAATAATTTATGCTTAGGTGTGATAAATACCTTAGGGAATCCAATATAGCCATGCAATGTATTTATTATTTATTTGTTTGTTTATTTATTTATTTTCTGGTACTGGAGATCAAACTCAGGACCTTGCACTGGAGAGGCAGGTTTGGCACCACTGAAGTAAATCCCAGGCACCTCATTTTAAATATTGAAAACTGAAACCTCCTCAGTTTTTAGTCAGCCGTGAAAGATATTTTGGAGGTTGGATAAGTTCTACACTTTCATTGGTGGTTTGCTTCTTTCAAGCACTAAAATTGATACACATCTCCATGAATAAAGTATCACTGCTTTAACTCCCTTTAATGGAGAAATTTCATCATCACTGACACCACCACGGATATCATCTCTGGAATGCCTAATTTTGCTGGCTCATTGTCCATGTGTTTGACCCTGTTGTCTTTGGGATGTACAAACATAGTTAAACATGTTTTAGCAGTTTTATGTGTGCATGATCCAAATCCATAGGGCCAGTCATTCCATTGTGATTTTAAGTATGAGAAGACCAGATATAAGACCTTGACATCTAAGCAGGGCTGATTGAACTGGTGTAGAGCTAGTGATTAGTCTCTGTCCTATTCTTGTAGTCTAACTTGAGGTTAGGCAATATCCCAAGACCTTTTTCAGAGCACACACCACTTCTTTGTTCCTCAGACTGTAGATAAGAGGGTTCATCATAGGGGTGAGGATGGGACCAAGCATGAAGAGGACCTGATCCAGTACGGGTCTGTGGTAGGAAGTAGGCCTCATGTAGACCAGCATGGCTGGACCAAAGTAGAGGCTCACCACTGTCAGGTGGGAGGAGCATGTAGCCAGGGCTTTGTTCCTACCCTCAGTGGAACTTATTCGGTGGACAGAAAGGAAGATGAGAGCATAAGAGGCCAGTATGAAGGACAGTGGAATGAGGAGTACCACAATGCTTGTCACTACAACAGCCTTCTCATAGGCAGAGATGTCTTCACAGGCCAGTTTTAGGATGGCCATAACCTCACAGAGGAAGTGGGAAATCTCTCTGGAACCACAGGTGGGGAAGTGCATGGCATAGGCTGTGTGTGCGAGGGAGGTAAAGGCACCTCCAGCCCATGAGATGGCAGCCATCTGCAGGCAGACCCTGGGGCTCATGATGAGGGCATATCTCAGAGGGTTGCAGATGGCCACATACCGGTCATAGGCCATGAGGGTGATGAGGATACACTCAGCAATTCCTAGAGTAAGAAAGAAGAAGATCTGAGTCCCACAAGCCACCCGGGAGATGTTTCTCTTCCCTGAAAAGAAGTCAGTTGCCATCTTGGGTACAATGCTAGAAATTAATGTCAGGTCCATGAGAGCCAGCTGGCCAAGCAGGAAATACATGGGTGTGTGGAGTTGAGAGTCCACCCAGATGAGAAGGATCAACATGGAGTTTGCAGTGAGAGCCACTCCATAGATTAGGAGGGTGGCAGACACCAGGAAGTTGATATGTTTCATCCCAGGGAAGAGGCCCAGGAGGAGGAAATCCACATTTGAAGACTCATTACCTGCATCCATGCCTGTGCCTCATTAGCTGGAACTCATCAACCCTGAAAACAAGCAAGAGTTGGAGACTCATGAAAACTTATTGGATTTTCTTTCTCAAAGTGTCCTTTCTTATCCTTCAGCAGCACCAGCAAGTTGTAGACTTTTTGCAAGTGATAGCACTTTAGCTAATTTCATGGCTAAGAAAGAACTGAACCTGAATCAATGGTTCTTTTAACAAGAAGATGCTTTTACAATTCAGTCCTCACCTGTAATCTTTATATGCAGAATGAAGTGCCACCAGTCAGGCCAGTGAATGCCCATTCTCTGTCCAGTCATGGCAGCCCAGAGTCAATAACACCCTCCCCTCTTGTCTCTCTCACTGCACAGAGACTCCTCCTCCCCTTTGTCCCTGAGTTTGGCCCCACGCACACATTCACATATTCTATGTGTTATTCAGTGTTCCATGTCTAGGATAGATAAAGTTAAAAGAAATACACTTTCTGATCTTGGTTTGGAGCAACAGATTTCTGCTATAATTTTTATAAAATTAATTTAAATCTCACAAATTTACTTGATTTGCTAATGTATATTAAATACTTAAAAATTAAAAACAGTCCATTTTTATGGACATAGCTTTTAATCGCCAGGAGACATATTATGTTGAATGCCAATATATAGTGTACCACTGCATAACATGATCCTCCCAGGTGTGACTATGAGTGTCTACTTGCCTAGCCTTGTGTGTGTGTAAGAAGTGAGGAAAAATGCAGAAAAGAATAGCATAAGTGGACTGAAATCATTACATGCACAAAGGCACTTAGTTTTATGCCCCAACTAATGAGATGCTCTTAATATTCCTGAGGATTCCTGGAAAGAATGAAGAAAAGACTTATAAAAAATACTCATAAGTTATCAACACTGAGGCACATTTACAAGATTCCTGCCATCTATGGCCATAAGCAAGTTTGCCTGTCTAATTATTCTTCTACCTAAAACACAATTTATTGTGACTTGTCCAACAAGTTAGACAGATTAGATGGTTGACATCATTCAAATATTAGTGACATCTACCCACTGAAAAACAGTTTTCCATTACTGCATAATAATTACTACAAGACTTAATGGCTTAGAACAACACATATGTGTTCATTTACAGTTTCTTCCCATCAGGGATCTGAGCAGACCCTAGCTTTTTTTCTTTGCCTAAAAATCTTTGACAAGACTGTAACTGAGATCCTGGCTGGCATTACATTTCATCTGAATGCATAGCTGGGTAAGGATTTGCTTCCACACTTAACTATTGTTGGCAGAGGTCAGTTCCATTCTTGTGGACTCTTAGATTGAAAGGTTCATTCTTTTGTTGGCTGTTGGATGGGGGTTTCATTCAGTTTATTGCTTTCCATGGGGGCAGCTTACTGCATGAAAGCTGACTTCCTTGGAGAGAGGGAGGGAGAGAAAGAGAGAGAGGAGAAAAAGGGAGAACAAGTTGGGAGTCACAGTCTTTGAAACCTAATAACAGAAGTAGCAATTGATAATAAATCCAGCCTGTGTTTAGGGGAGAGAAATGCAAAGGCCATAAACATGGGCAAAGATCACTGGAGTCGTCTTTGAAGTTGCCTATCACAAATATTCTCTGAACTTGTTATATTTTTGTAATACTTTTAGATTTTAAACTAATAATGTCTTTAAAAATTAATTTGCTCTTATCCCCAGTTATTTGTATATTGGTGTAATTTTAATGATAAAGTTTAGAAAATGTTTGCTCAGCAGTAGATCACTAGCCACATTAACAGTGAATTATATACATGTCTATTATCACAGTGATTTTCTTAGTTACTTTCTTGAGTTTGCTATTTTCAACCCATTCATATTGGTTCTTTTACTTTATATCACCTAGGGAACAAAAAAGATGCTTTAAGTTAGTGTGAAACCATTCAGTTTCATGAATAAGGACTGTAAGGAGATGCTTAGAAAGTCATGAATACAAATAGTTAAGTTATAGTTTATATGTAGATTTTTAATCATCTAGGAAATACACAAAATGTTAATGCATCTCAATGTTACATATTTATAAGTTTCATTTATTAAAATCTACTAATTTGAAAGTACTCACATTTAACCAGGTCTGTGCACTCTGTACTCTGTTTACAGCAGGTCTGTTTATTGGCCGAGTAGTGACATGATGGCCACATTTTCTGGAGTGCTGGACAAATGAATTGATTCAATTTGGCTGCAAAAATGTTACTAAGAAAGCAACATTAGAAAAATCAGCAATGGTGATTGAATTTTGTTATGGATTCTTCTACCGAGTTATTACACATCCCAGCCTTGGACTCCACCCACTCTGCAGCTTTCCTCTTTTGGGTTCAGAACCTTGTACAGAATCAGCACACGTAGACTTGGACTCCTGTTTCCCAAGGCTTGCAGCCCAAACAAAATCATAAGCAGGTTCCCCCTGAGCATCAGTGTGCTCACTCTACATCTGCTGGCAAGTTTACACATCCACAAACTCTTTGGATGGTGATGCGACAGGAGAGTCATTTTGAGGCCTGTCCTGAGCAGCAGTCTTGTGGGTGGATGAGCCTGTGCCCTCTTGTCCCTCCATCCTTTGCTTGATCAGACCCCATGAGTGACATGATGAGACAAAGCTTTAGTGGACCATCTCTGTGGGAGGCCCAGGCTCTTGGATGAAGGATCCCAAGAGTTGCTGTGTGGGCTTCTGACAGTCAGGGGTTTGGCCTCAGCACTGCCTGGAGGGGCAGAGTGTGGGGGTTCTCAGCACCCCCTCCACACACAGCAGAGTCGCAGCTCTTCCTTCACCCTGGCCCTGTCCTCTGTTCTCCCTCAGCCCCACAGGTACTGATCCCTGGCCCATGTGCCACTAAAATCCCACATTTACCTTCAGACAGCACCTCACTCATCCATGACTTTCTCTCATTTACATTTTACTCTTCTGTTCACGATTCCTTTCCTGCTTTTCCTTCCCAGTTAGCACTGACTCTGTACATCTGTGCTTTCTAATTCCATAGAGAACCCCTCCCCAGTTTTCTTATATACAGTGTATATCCTTTTCCACCTTGCTTTTAACAGGAAATAAATCCTAATTTTTCTGATGATTACCAGGAGAGGAAATTATGTTGGGACAGAAAACATCAGTGGTATACAAGGAAATGGACCTAATTATTTCCTGACTAGCAACTGACTAACTGCTCACAATGGATGGAACATTCTTTCATTTCCAGTTTATTACTTGGTTAGAAAGACCCATAATTCTAGGAGGTTTTATTAATTTTTAAGGTAAAAGTTAGAATTTATAACTTTTTTAGAATTTATAACTTTTGGGAAATTTCTTAATGTATGTCATTCAAATAATTTCATCAATAAAATGGGAATACATGAAGGTGGTCATGTCAGCAGGCAACTCATGAGATACAAAAGCAGTTCATAGAACCTCACCTTCAACTTTGGGTCCTTAGTAAAAACTTTTTCTATCTGTCTAAAAAATCTTTTTCATCTTAGTCAAAGAAATAGGTTTTGACTTCACTGAGATAAAACTGCTAATGACATGTGACACTATCAAAGTAAATTTTATATTGTAAAGGAGAGCAATCTTACCTCTCATCTTACCTTGGTTTTCTAGTTTATTTTACAACTATGTACCTTGAACAGCCTATGTATTTTTTTACACTTGTCCATTATCTTAGAAATAATCCATCTGAGTAGACACAAGTGACAGTTTCTCATTGCCTTCTATACAAGAAAATCCAAAAATTGTTACCCAGGTGGGTTTTTAATGTGCTCAGGACCCTCTCTGATTCTAGATTTCAATCCATTGATGGAAGCATTGTTTTCTCTGTGCATGGTTGTCTTCAATGACAAGAAATTCCACCTGACATTACTGTGGTGTCTCCCCAAGGGGTGATGGAACACAGACACAGATGAGGTCCCTGAAGGTCACTTGGTTATCCTGGGTCCCAGTCTGGCTCCATGCTGAACTGGGTGCCCATGGGAGTCCTGGTGGTTTAGCCATTGAGATTCATGTGCCTCTGCTTGAGGGTGAAACAAAACTATATTTTTTATGAAATTTAGATTTTATAAAAATTATAAATATTCTTTAACTTACTTTCTGTCATGTAATCTCTAAAGCACAATGTAAGATGGCGAATAGGAGTTACCATTTCCACACCATGGGCACTTAAAATGAGAGTGGAAGATCACACAGCTATTTAGATTCTGGGTTGTTGGCTACATGCTCTCCTGATTCCCAGTGACCCTGGCTTTACCTGCAAGGAGTGATGCTGGCTTTGTGGTACTTCCAAAACAATCATTGGCAAAAGGAAAACTCCCATCTGTCTTCCTTGACTTCTACTCCCCTCTTTTCATCTCAGGTGTAGCTTAGCTTGGAAAATATTGCTTCTTAAGAAATGGTTCACAAGGACCTGAGTTCAATCCCCAGTACTAAAAAAAAAAAAAAAGGAAAAAGAAATGGTTCATTTGGTTGTCCTTATTCTACTTGTTGGGGACTGACTCTATTTGTGTGTGTGTGTGTGTGTGTGTGTGTGTGTGTGTGCGCGCACGCAAACACAAGTGTAACATTAAGTACTCACATATAACTTATTTTGTAAATATTTTCACTCAGATATATCATTAGATAACAATGATATCCAGAGAATATACTTAAGAAATTGATTGTGGTCCTGAAATCTCAATGGCAGTGTAAGCAGGCTTTATCATTATTGTCAAATGCAAGATGATTTTTCTGGCATTAATGACTTGGGAATTCTATGTAGGGGTTGCATATCCTTCTACTGACAGCAGATGATTGGTTTTTAAGGTAGATACAACAACCTCACAAATGATAATAGCTGTAATTTGTGTTTCTAAGCATGGAACACCCTACTGGGCTCTATGTTTTATTATTGGGTCTCCATAAACTTTATTAAGTCCCCAGGAAATCATTAAGGATCCTTGTCAAACTTGCTACATCATTTACAAGATTTAAACCACTGCATGTGTGATTACAAACAAAA